CAGTCAGCTCCTCTCTCCGACTTACAGACTCAGACACCTGGTGGAAGGCTACTAGGAGTCAGAATCAACTTGTGGTAGTAGGCTAAGTGTTTTGTTTGTCTTGGTTTGGTTATGGTTATAAGGAAGCCATTTCTAAAAGGAATTTCAAAGGAAACTGAAGAATCAATAATTAATTGGGTTCATAAATTAATAAACCCTGTGAGGAATACTACTTTTTAAAAATATGTTTCTCTTTTCCTTTTATCTTTTCTTGTTCTCCTTACCTAGGCTTGGACTGAGGTTGAGGCAAACTCTGTGGTGTAGTGGTAGGGACCATGATAGATACAAAGATACGTAAGGCTGGGAGTTGGCTAATAAAAACAACTATGTGTTCAAAAAGAAATACAAATGTAAGTGATGAAAGACCACTGATTGAAAAAAAAAATCCAAAGGCAGTTCATTGGTGGAACAGCTATATTCATTCCACAGAACTCAGAAACTGTCCACCAAAACAGGTACATTTTAATATATTCAGATTATTGTTGTTAGTTACCTATGATTATGGTATATTGTCTGTTACTCTATGAACAACAGAGTTAAACCTTGCTCTGCCCTGAGCCATTCTTATGATCTCCAACACGCACAAGCCTATTGCTGCAGTCCTTATATCAGTAAATCTCACTGAGGATCTTCCTCCCTCTCACAGATCTACTTTTCTCAGCATGATGTCTTTTTTGAAGGACTGATGCCCCTGACAACATATCCAGTTTTCACTGTCTTTCCCTCTAAAAACTATCCTGATTGTACTTACTGCAAGATAGATTTATTTGGTCTTTTTGGCAAACCCTGGTACACTTCTACTGTTTACTATACCGCAAGTTAAAGATATCATTTCTTCTTCAGTCATCAAAAAAAATCAAACTGCTTGTTGCCAAGTAGGAATGGACTCCTGGCTGATCCTCCAGAAGGTTCTCTGAGGCTGTAAATAGCACAAGAGAGAGTGCTCATCGTCTTTAGAGCTGCTGCTGGTGGACGTGAACCTTTGGCCAAGAACAACTCTTTAAAGACAATACCATCAGAGTACCTTAAACTGTACTTAGTTGGACTAAAACATTAAAGTCCTTATGTAGGACAGTCAGTAAACTAGTAGGAGTGAATACTTTAGGACTTGAATAATTGGAGATGAAGATGGATAAGTGATGGGACCTTAACCCCATCAAAAACTATGGCCTGCAAGAGAAGAGATGGATAGAAAAGTATAGAACTATCTTCCCAACAGTCTGGATTGCAGCGCAGCTTCTTTTGGTGGCCACTAGGCCATCAGAGCTCCCTTCTTTCCAGTAATCTAATAGAATATGGAAATTATTTAATAATAAATGTGCAAGAAGCTGGCGTAAGAAAATATGAAGAGCCAAACTCGCTCAGCATTTCTTAAGCTGAAAACTGAAGAACAAATTAAAACCTTGAGTTGCAATACTTAAGGATGCTTTGGTCAAAATATTAAATGATCCAGGAAGCATTAAAAGAAGATAGACAAAGTATACAGAGTCATTGTTCCAAAAGGAATTGGTGGACACAGATGAATTTCATGAAAAAACATATGAGCAAGAGCCTATGGTGATGAAGAAAGAAGTCCAAGATGCTCTGAAAGAATTGACAAAACACAAGGCCCGAGGAATTGATGGCATACTGATTGACATATTTCAACAAACAGACGCTGCCCTGAATGTGCTCACCAAGTTGTGCCAAGAAATCCAGAGGCCAACCACCTGGCCAAATGACTGGAAAAGATTTCTGTTTGTTCCCATTCCAAAGAAAGGTGATCTGACAGTGTGAAAATTATTGAACACTATCATTGATATCACATGCAAGCAAGATTCTGCTAAAAATGATCCCAAAATGACTGGAACAGCACATCAACAGAGAACTGCCTGAAGTGCAGGCTGGATTTAGAAGAGGTTATGGCACTAGGGATATTATAGCTAATGTCAGATGGCCCTTGGCTGAAAGCAGAGAGTACCAGAGGGATGTCTGTGTTTTATTGACTATGCAAAGGCATTTGACTGTGTGGATTACAACAAACTGTGGCTCACTCAGAAGAATGGGAATCCAGAATACTTGATTGTTCTAATGCAAAACCTATACTTGGACCAGGACACAGTCATCAGAACAGCAAGGAAACGCTGCATGGTTCAAAATTGGGAAGAGTGTGCATCAAGGATGTGTCATATCTCCATTTCTTGTCAGTCTATATGCAGAACAGATTATCTGGGAGTCTGGGCTCTATGAGGAGAAGTGTGGCATCAGGATTAGAGGTAGACTCATCAACAATCTGCACTAAGGAGATCTGAGGAGGACCTGAAGTGCTTGCTGCAGAAGGTCAAGAACTGCAGCCTTCAATATGGATTGAAGCTCAACATCAAGAAAACAAAGATTCTCAATCATTAGGCTGATTGGAAGCATCATGATAGATAGTGATGAGATTGGGACTGTTAACAGCTTTAGTTTGCTTGGCTCAACAATCAGCACTCTTGGTACCAACAGCCAGGAAATTAAAATCTGCTGTCAGAAACATCTCCAAAGTACTGAAGAGCAATGATATCAGTCTGGAGACTAAGGTGCTCATGATCTTTGCAATCACTTGCTATGCGTCAGAGAGCTGGACAATGACTAGGGATGATAGAAGGAGAGTTGATGCCTTTGGGCTTTGGTGCTGGAGAAGAACATTGAATATACCATAGACTGCTAGGGGAACAAACAAGTTCATCCTAGAGAGAGTGAAGCCAGGCTGCTCCTTGGACGCAAGGATTCTGAAGATTCATCTGACATACTTTGAACATGTTGCAAGCAGGGACCAGTCCTTGGAGAAGGACATCATGCTTGGGAGGGTGGAGGGACAGCGCAGAAGAGGAAGATCCTCTATGAGGTGGATTGATTCAGTCACTGGAGTAATGGGGATAGGTGTGTCAGAGACAATAAGATTGGCAAGGGCAGGGTTTAGGGCTGTGATACATAGGGTAGCTATGAGTCGCAGGTGACTCAATGGCACATAACAACATTACTAATATCACATGTTAGTAAAATTTTGCTGAAGATGATTAAAAACTGGAAACTGCCAAACATTCAAGCTAGATTCAAAAGATGTGGAACAAATGGTATCTGTGCTGATGTTTAATAGATTTTGGCTGAAAGCGCTCAGTACTAAAAATATGTTTTCTTGTGTTTTGTTGACTATGGAAAGGCATTCAGCTGTGTAGATCATAACAAACTGTGGATAACATTGCACAAAATAGGAACACTAGTGCAGAATAGATCAAGAAGCAGATATTAAAATAGAACAAGAAGATACTGTATAGATTAAAATCAGGGGAAGGGGGGGAGTGTGTTTCTTTCCTCCATACTTATTTGAGAATCTGGATTATGTGAAGAATGTGGCATCAGGATCAGAAGAGGATTTGTTAACTACTTGAAATAACAACTTGAAACTTGTTTGCTGAAAGTAAAGCAGACTTTGAGCACTTACTGATGAAAATCAAAGACTACAGCCTTCAGTATGAGTTACATCTTAGCATAAATTATCATATCGGAACCAGTAAACAACATCAAGATAAATAGAGAAAAATATTAAAGTTACCAAGAATTTATTGTTAAGATCATCATTCGTAGAAGCAGTAGTCAAAATCAAACTATTGCATTGTACTTCATAAGACCTCTTTAAAGTGCTAGAGAATAAGGAAGTCACCTTAAAAACTAAAGAACTAAAAAAAAAAAAAAAGAACTAAAGAAAGAGCACTTGACTGGAACCTTGGTATTTTGATTTGCCTCACATGCGTGCAAAAAGTGACCAATTAATGAGGAAGACCAAGGAATTGATGTCTTTGGATTATGGTGTTGGCAGAGTACGGAATTTAACATAGACTGACTACCTTGGAAGGAGCACCTTTGCAGTGAAAATGGTGAGATTTTATCTCATGTACTTAGACATATTATCAGACAGAACAAGTATCGAGAGAAGGACATAACAAGAAAAAGGAAAATAAAATCAACCCAACAAAATAAAAGCCTCAAAAATATCATTGCTGACAAGCCTCAGCTGTCTCATAATGAGCTATTGGGTTTCTGAGGTTGTAAATCATCTGGGAGTAGGCTACCAGCTGGTGGGTTCAATTGGCCCAAGCTATGTGGCCTTTGGATTAGCAGTTCATGTCCTAATGGACTACACCATCATGTCCCTGGAGAAGCACTTCATGCTTGCTAAAGTTGAGGGCTAGCAAAAAAGAAGAGGTTCACAAGGAGATGTATTGACGCAGTAGCTGCAACAGCGGCCAGTGAAGTTGGCAAAGGGACTGAGCAGTGTTTTGCTGTTTACGTCGCTGAGTAGGAACTGATTAAATAGCACCTAACAACAACACACAATCCTTAGTCCAGAACTCTTCCTTTTACTTCCCCAACCCCACCCTGCCCTATTGATTTGCTATTTTCATTCATGATCATGACCTTGACACAAGATTATAAGATTTTTGGAGGTGGATATCCAAACAAGCACAAAGTTCCTGGGAAAATTTAAATCCACAAGAGTGATTTAAAAATAAATGCTAGTCCTATTTATATTTAAACAATCCAGGGAAGTAGAATTCCATTTGCTCTTTTTACCTCACTTTTTTACATAAAGACCCTTACAAATGGAAATCCTCCCACATTAGCATTTGTCCTCACAACATTATGGAACTATTTAGTAATACTTTGATACTATTAAATTTAAAAGGAGCCCTAATAACACATAAGTTAATAGCTTAGTTGCAACTGAGAAGTTAACAGTTCAAATCTACCTGGTGCTCCAAAAGGAGAAAAAAATTACAGCTTCAGAGACCCAGAGTTGTAGTTCTGTCATCTAGCGTTGCTATAAAGCTACCTTCCAGCCCACAGAAACAACCAACATAAGGAAACGAAGCAAATAGCAGTTAGCTCTTTGTTCAGTTTGTCATTTATTTCTAATATCAGATTTTCTATTCTCTCCCCAGGAATTTTTATGTGGTGAGAAGGGCCTGGATCAGCTAATTCAGAGACTACTTCAGTCAGCAGATGAAGAAGCTATGGCTGAACTTCTGGATAAAAACCTTAAATCAGCAAAATAAGTGCCGATTTATATTTTTTATTCATGAAATGGACCTGTGTCAAGGATTCTTAGACATGGAAATCTATGAATTTTCATAAAGTGCAGTGTACTTACGAGTTGGTTGTTTTGTGGTTTGTTGGTTTTTGGGTTTGTTTTTTTTTTATTTCCTGTGACGTACAATCCAGCTTTACAAAAATCACGAAACAAGCATGGTCAATGAAAGGAAGGATAATAAAGGACTATGTATTGTTACAAGAGTACTTGACCTCTTTATATATGCCTTTTCTTAGCCAGCTTTAAATTCATCTGGAGCACTTGAGTGGTTTGGTACAGATGGTTAATATCGTTGCCTGCTAACCAAAAGGTTGGCAGGTAAGAGTTCCCCGAGGAAGAAAGATGGAAGGCCTCAGAAGAAAGGCCTGACAAGTGACTTCTAAAAAATCCACATCTGAAAACCTCCTGGAGCACAGCTCTGCTCTGACACACAGGTGGTAACCATAAGTTGGTATCAACTTGATTGCAGCTGCGTTTTTATAAATTAAGTTAAACACATTCAATTACTTAAGGAAATACGGTAGAATTTAGTGATGTAAGATTTGTAAGTATCTTTGCAAACTCCTTAATAATTCATTTATTACAGTATTATCAGGGATTTATAAAGTGCAGCCCATCCCTTCCAGCTGACTGAGGGAGACAAATGTACCAAGTGGCATGATATATTTAGTACTATTTTGAGGGAGCTCCTTGAATAAAAAACTAGAGTATGTTAGGAAAGTCTAGCTGAAGTGGAATTATTTGAGGTAAAGATGGGAGAATTTTTTTCCTCATATTGGAAGGTTTACTTTAAACATTGTAACATTAAAATATAAGATGAGTGAACACAATCTAGATTTAACTACTGATGTTTTACCCCATTTGTTCTGTATACACAATTGTATGGCATGAAATGTTGTATTTTCCCTGAACCTTGCGATCTTAGGATACATTACAAGTTAAGAGCTCTTCCCCCCAACTATATCTTTTGTGTTCTGGAAAAAATCCATTTACTTTAGAGAACCACCATTCTGCATTAACTCATTTTTTTTCAGCTTCAAATTCAATCTACATACTGCAATCAGTACTTGGTTCCACAATACATTCGTAGCCTTATTCTAACTAATGATAATTGAGCTTCTGCATCATTTCTCAAAGATGTAGTTAGATTATCTCTACCTACATCCACAAGTATATTTACTATTTATGTTTGGGGAAAATGGTCTTTCTAATGAATAAGTTTTTGGTTTTGAAAACCAAGATATTTTAACAAGCCTACTCTATGCTGAAAATACTTACTCATCCATACCCAAAACTGCTTCGCCAACCTGCTGGCACAGAACTATTTACATTCTTTGGCCAAAGAAAGGCAATCCAACAAAATGTAGGAATTACTGAAAAAGATCCCGTGAAACAAAATTTTATTTTCACTAGGGAGCTCTGGGGGACTAGTGGCAAGAAGCTGTGCTGTAATCCAAAAGGCAAAATTCAAATCCACCAAACACACACACACACACACACACACACACACACAGAAATTTTACTGTCACAAGGTAAAATCACACTTTAAAGATAATTCAAAAATAAGAATGCATCAACAAACAAAATCACGCTTGATTCAGGAGAAGGTAAAATGAATGATGACTACTGTTGTTACTGTCTTATAGATTTAGAATGAAAGCAATGACTACTAGAAATACTATTTATCTGTGTTTTATTGACTCTGCAAAGGTAAATGACTATGGATCAGTGTGTGGAAATTCTAGAACTCTTAACTGTGCTTCGATAAAATTTGTACAAAGACATGTTCAAACATGGTAATACTGCATGGCTTAAAATTAGAAAAGGTGTGTGCCAGCCTTATGTATTTTTACTAAATTTATTCCATCTGGATGGTAAGTGTGTGAGAGTATTCACTGTGGCTTTTCGAGTCATTGTTAGGTACCATCTGTGAACAGATCTGAATCTTGTTCTGTCTTGCACCATCTTCAAGATCGGTCATTTTCCAGCCCACTGTGGTAGGTACTGCGGCAATCCATCTTGTTAAGGATGTTCCTCTCGTTTACTGACCCTCTACCTTTCCCAGCATGATGTCTGTAAGGAATGGTTCTTTCAGAAAATATGCCAAACCAGGTGAGATGACATTTCATCCTCCTTGTGTCTAAGGAGCACCCTTGTTGGGCTTTAGATTTATTTGTTCTTTTGGCAGTCAACACTCTTCACCAACACTATAATTTTGAAGCTCCGTCTCATATACTTTGGGTATGTGGCCAGGAGGGCCCGCTGTTGGAGGGCATCATGCTTGGAAGGGTGGAGGGATAGCACAGGAGAGGAAGACCTCAGATGAAATGGATTAACACTAACTGGAATAAGGGAGTAAGAGTGTTGGAGTCAGTGAGACTCGCTCAGGATAAGGCAGGTTTCAGAGCTGTTGTACATAGAGATGCTCAGTGACACATAACAATGGTGGTCTAGTGATGAGCATCTGTGCTGCATCCGAAGGCATGCAGTTGGAATCCACCAGCTGCTCCGTGGGAGAAGGATAGGCAATCTTCTGAACAATTACTGCCGCTGAAAACCCTCTGAAGGGTCAGCTATGGGTCAGTTCCAACTTGATGGTACACAACAATGCACTCTACAAATTGCTTCACTCAATTCTTATAAAATCATATTCTCCCTGTTAAGAAAAATGTTCTGAAAGAAATCACAGAATCTGTATTCTAATCTGATGTTCACAGCTGACAAAGGTTAACTAGCTGAAACTCACCACTACTATTTCAGACCCCTAAACCAGGCTAAGCCTTGGAAACCTCGCGAGATTCTCCAACCGGCTATCCCCAACAAGCAAAGCAGAGAGTGTCCGTTGGACTCTTTCCCGGAACCTGAAAGGCCCCAGCATGCCTCGGGGCGCGCGAGGCAGCCTGGGAGTAGTAGTTCTCCTAGGAGCCCGCCGGTGTTGCCAGCGCGGCAGTGGCGGTTCCCCGTGCTCAAGTCAGCGGGTCCTGTGAGGGCGTACTGAGGCGGCGTAGAGGCGCAGAAGTGGACTAAGGTGAGTCAGGCACCGTCCAAGCGATCAACAGAGGCAGTTCCACGGCACGCGGCTGACTAAAGTACGTGGGGCCTGTGCCGCAGGTTGTTCGGGGGCTTCGCAGGCTGTTTAGGGGCAGCGTCAGCGAGAGGAGGGTGAGCAGGAGCCAGAGCTCCGTGGCTGCAGTCGTCCTCGCCCTCTGCGCGCCGCCATCCCCACCATGCAGTCCCGGGAGGAAACCCCGCGCTCTCGCCGCATCTCCAGCCCTCGCGGCGGGAGACGGCCCAAGAGAATTTCCAAGCCCTCGGTTGCGGCCTTTTTCACGGGCCCAGAGGAGCTGAAGGATTCGGCCCATTCAGCAACTCTGATGACACAGCTCAAGTCCTTCTACGACGCGCGGCTGCTCTGCGACGTGACCATCGAGGTGGTGACACCTGGTAGCGGGCCTGGCACGGGTCGCCTTTTCTCCTGCAACCGCAACGTGTTGGCAGCCGCGTGCCCCTACTTCAAGAGCATGTTCACGGGCGGCATGTACGAGAGCCAGCAGGCCAGCGTGACCATGCACGACGTGGACGCCGAGTCCTTCGAGGTGCTGGTTGACTACTGCTACACTGGCCGCGTGTCACTTAGCGAATCCAACGTGCAGCGCCTCTATGCGGCCTCGGACATGCTGCAGCTCGAGTACGTGCGGGAAGCCTGCGCCTCGTTCTTGGCCAGACGCCTGGACCTGACCAACTGCACCGCCATCCTCAAGTTCGCAGACGCCTTTGATCATCACCAGCTGCGATCGCAGGCCCAGTCCTTCATAGCCCACAACTTCAAGCAGCTCAGTCGCATGGGCTCCATCAGGGAGGAGACTCTGGCCGATCTGACCCTGGCCCAGCTGCTGGCCGTGCTGCGCCTGGACAGCCTGGACGTAGAGAGTGAGCGCACTGTGTGCCACGTGGTCTTGCAGTGGCTGGAGGCTGCCCCCAAAGAGCGGGGACCCAGTGCTGCCGAGGTCTTCAAGTGTGTCCGCTGGACTCACTTCACGGAAAAGGATCAGGACTACCTGGAGGGGCTGCTGAGCAAGCCCATCGTGAAGAAGTACTGCCTGGACGTGCTTGAAGGGGCCCTGCAGATGCGCTATGGCGATGTGATGACCAAGACGCTGGTGCCAAAGGCAATCAGCAGCACCAGCTCAGTGGTATCGGCAGCAGGAAACCCCCCCCAGAGGATGGGTATGTGCGCCAAGGAGATGGTCATCTTCTTTGGACACCCCAGAGATCCCTTTCTGTGCTATGACCCATATTCAGGCGACATTTACACAATGCCTTCACCTTTGACCAGCCTGGCTCACACTAAGACTATCACCTCCTCTGCTGTCTGCGTCTCTCCAGAACATGACATCTATCTAGCTGCCCAGCCCAGGAAAGACCTCTGGGTGTACAAACCAGCCCAGAATAGTTGGCAGCAACTTGCAGACCGCTTGCTGTGTCGTGAGGGCATGGATGTGGCTTACCTCAATGGCTACATTTACATTTTGGGAGGACGAGATCCTGTTACTGGTGTTAAATTGAAAGAAGTGGAATGCTATAGTGTTCAGAGAAACCAGTGGGCATTAGTGGCTCCTGTACCCCATTCCTTCTATTCCTTTGAATTAATAGTAGTTCAGAACTATCTTTATGCTGTGAATAGTAAACGCATGTTGTGCTATGATCCTAGCCATAATATGTGGCTGAACTGTGCTTCTCTTAAACGAAGTGACTTTCAAGAAGCCTGTGTCTTCAATGATGAGATCTACTGTATTTGTGACATCCCAGTCATGAAAGTCTACAATCCAGCCAGGGGAGAATGGAGACGTATTAGTAATATTCCTTTGGACTCAGAGACCCACAACTATCAAATTGTCAATCATGGCCAAAAATTACTGCTTATAACCTCAACCACTCCACAGTGGAAGAAAAACCGGGTGACTGTGTATGAGTACGACACCAGGGAAGACCAGTGGATTAATATAGGCACCATGTTAGGCCTTTTGCAGTTTGACTCTGGCTTTATTTGTCTTTGTGCTCGTGTTTATCCTTCCTGCCTTGAGCCTGGTCAAAGTTTCATCACTGAGGAAGATGATGCACGGAGTGAGTCTAGTACTGAATGGGACTTAGACGGATTTAGTGAACTGGACTCTGAATCAGGAAGTTCAAGTTCTTTTTCTGATGATGAAGTCTGGGTGCAAGTAGCGCCTCAGCGAAATGCACAGGATCAGCAGGGTTCATTAGTTTGAGACACTAAGGTGTGTCTACTGTTGTAGAATGTATCTTAAAAATATCTCCTTTTTCCTAGGAAAAAAAGAACTTGAGAAAACTACAAATTATTTGGTTTAGAAAGGGTAATTTGTTGAAATACTAAAAATCTTTCCAAAACCTCGAGTTCATGAAGTCAGCCTATTTAATAATTAACTGCTAAAAATCCAGAATTAAAATAACAAAGAAGAAAATTAACTGATTAAAATGCCTGGTTTGTTCAGCTTCCCATTGGATTATTTTGGTTAGTATATTTATGTTTTAATTGTCCTCATTTAGTCTTAATTTAAAAAAATTCTGTTTAGTGATATAACAGTGTACCATTTGTTTTGAATTTTTATAATAGTTTTAAAATATGTATATTTTTCTTTAAAATAATGAAAATAGTTGATTACAAAATTTAAAAGTAATTGGTTTTTCTTTAATGTATATTAAGTTAAACATAATTTGCTGAGTTTTTAGTTTGGTCCCCTACCCCTGTATAAAGCGGGGGAGGGGGAAATGAGTATATGCATTAAAATTATTGAATAGTGATTTCATGTTGATTATGTGCAGAATAACCATACTAGCTCAAGGAAAATTTAAAATTCAGTGTTTCACTGTTTTAAAAGAAATTTTATTTTAATTTGGAATATAAAATGTGTATTTGCTAAATGTGACCAATTTTCTATCTTAAAAAAACCCCAAAACTATTCTAATAACGTCACCAATCTTTTAAAAACCCTTCTAAACCAAAATCAACATAAAAATGAAACAAGTTTTGTAAGTTCATATTTTTGATCTGTACCAGATACATGTTTTATGGAATCAGAGGAACAATCCTTTTTTCATTGGACATATTGGATAATGTAAATTTTTAAAATTTTATCACACCTTGACTTAAAGACTTTGCTTTCCTAAAATACTTTGGCTATATAGTGTTGGTGCTCGTCGTAGAGGATTTTTGAGCTGGCAATGATTTGTTCTCTACTGTTTTTGTGTTAATATGGAGTTTTGAATATATGAATAAGCTAAAAAGCAGTATTTTACTGAGATTAGTAGTCATTGTGTCTATTAACTATAAAATCAAGTGCCAGCAAAAAAACCCTTAAGCTGTGTATAGCATTGAAATACTCTGTCAGTTTTTTAAGTCCCTGTAAATGTTCTTGATTATCAGCTTTATGGTATTTTTGTATTAAAAGTTGACAATTAAAGGACAAAAGTGAATGATGGCATTTGGGGCCAGTAGTAAAAATAGGTTTTCTCTAAAATATTTCCTTAGGAAGTGGTATACATGATTATTTTATTATGTAATTTGTGTCTATTCTGTGCTTTTCTATGAATCATGTTCCAGTCTTTTTTTTTTTTTTGTCACCATATGAGGAAAGGTCCAGAAGACTTTCTGAAGACTCATTAATACTTACGGTTGGCTTGATACATGTAACATGATAAATGGCCAAATACTTAAGGTCTAATAATTTTTTTTCCCAGTTAGAATATCCCCACCACCACTTCCACTTCCGAGGACATGCTAATCTCTCTTCTCTGTTGATTCTTTAGTGACACAATGTTGTCATTTCTTTCACCTTGGTAGATAACACAAGTGGTGCTATGACACGAGAAGTCACATTTTTTAAGGAAGTGTAGAATGGAAAAAGAGGGTGAGAGAAAAGAATAAAGAAGTAATGTTTTCTTAGCTATTTTGATAGGCCATGTGAAGAATCTACATGTTATTCCTGTTTGGCATTTTTTTTTTTGGCATTATTTTAAGCAAGATGAGATACTTGCCCTTGGTGATCTATATTCCTTCAAACAGGCAAGTGTGTTTTGGTGGCCTAGAGTGAAATTTTGTTCCATTTGATATCAGGGATGTTACAAGCACTGCTTTTAACATAGAAAGCTATTCCCAGCATTTTCTTCACCAGTATCTTCTTGTTCCTAACTTTTGTTAAGTTGAGATATAAGATACTGCTTGTCTTAACCAAATTATTCATCTGGAGAATTAAGATTTTGCAACTAGTTTATAAGAGGCAAATTGTCTTGTTTATTCTGAACCTTTGCTTTAAAGCTGAAAGAAACTAAATAGTTGTAAAATCTTCATTTACAAGGAAGTTTTCTTGGGAAGAAAGAAGTTTGGTTTCATGACATATTTGTGAATCACAAAGTAGATGTTAATCATTGTTTTATAGATAAGTGATTTGTATGTGGTTAGCTGCAAATAAAATTGACACTAGAACCGAGGCATTCCTATTTATTTTTTCTGCTGTATGGATTAAAATTCTTGCTTACTATGCGAATGATGCAATTAGCAATATTGAAATTTCTAATTTACTAGAAAGCACCTTTGTCTCAGTTTTTCACTTAATCATACTTTAGCAAACACTCAATATGGTTCACAGGCATATTGTTTTTAAGATTTAAAATAAGGCCATTACTATTGTGATTAGATGCTATTGAGTTCACAACTCATAACTGCTCTGTTATCTTGTTAGGTGCTCACAAGTGAAAACCAACTACAGCTGACCCTCCAGTGGGTTTTCAGAGGCTGTATAACCCAAGAAAGGAAACTACCCACCTTTCTCCCTCAGAGCAGCTGGTGGATTCAAACCTCTTACCTTTTGGTTGGCAGTACAATTCCTTACCCACTAGGCCACTTTGGAGCTCCATCCTATTACTACTATACAATATATTCGGGGGGTGGGGGGGAATCAGTTGCTGTCAAATTGATTTTAATTTATAAAACTGTCTCCATCAGGTTCCTGAGGTGTAGACCTGAATGGATGCAGACTGCTCCATCGTTATCCCTCAAGTTGGCTTGTGGGTCCGAATTGCTGACCTTTTTTTTGTTAACAACTCAATACTTAATGCTCTAGACCAGTGTTAATGTATTCTAAAAAAGGCTCAGAGAACCCAAATTATTTCAAGTGCCTTCAATTCAAAGGATAACTAGCATTGGTATTTTGTGTACTATCAAGTCAGACCCGACCCATAGCTAACTCTCATGTGGGTTTTCAGAGGGAGTTAACCAAAATGGGAGGAGATTGCCCATCTTTCTCCCTTGGAGCAGCTGGTGGATTTGAACTTCATACCTTTTGGATTACAGTGCAACTTTTTACCACTAGTCCATCAGAGCTCCCTCAGTTAGCAATTAACATGTTTAAATTTGCTTTTAGAATGTGGCTGCTGGTTGTGCTTTTGTTAGTGGCAACATTTCTCAATGATCTTCTCATGACCTTTACTCTTAAATGGATTCTAGTCTACTAATTGATTTATGGCCTACACTAACTCCAGAATGATTTCATCTTAAGATCTTTAATATCTGCAAAAACACTATTTTCACATTCTGAGGTTTTTAATAGACAGAAATTTTCTTTTTTCATTGTTGTGTACCGGCAAATCAGATCCCACTGGCACAGGAGGAGGTTGCCCCTCCTTCTCCAGCAGAGCATCTGGTGGATTCAAACTGTCTTCAGGATTACAATGCAGCTTCTTGCCACTTGGCCACCAGAGAGAGCTCTCTGGATAAACAGAAATTTATACACTATAAATTCCCTTCTATTTCTTTAGTTGATTAGCATTAGTTTTGCATTCTGTTCTCATGGATCATACTGAGAATCTGATAAAATTATTTTTATATTTATCTCCCACCCCCAGAAAAACATACATTTTTATAATTCAGGTAGACTTGTGGCACCACAATTCATTGATAAACCTAGAGTAAGAGCACCTGTGACCATCCCAAGAAAATTTCTATAAAAATAATTAGCAATTTCTACAAAGTACATAGCTCAAATATTAGTGATAATAAGTAATACTATTTTATTCCCAAGATAGAGCTAAAGATGTAGATGTACACTCACCATCTGAGAAACATAAAAAATTTTCTTAGAACAAAAGCAAAATTGCTATTTCTGAAATGTAAATTTTCTCGGTGATTAACCTGAGACTATTTAAGCAAATGTGAGAAATTTAAAGGGATAAATGAGTTAATGTATATGAAAGCTTAAAACGTAAGCATAATGCAAGAACATTATATAACAACTCATTTTTTAAAACTTTCATGTTACCGACATAGCTGATGATTAGAAATCTAAGAAGCAAAAATACTTTGATCATTAGGAACAGGTAGATAAGTTGTTGGAAAAAATATCCATAAGATGTTATTACTTAAGGCATTATTAATGAAGATTTTGCTAGTCCTGAATTATAAGCCAAGAGACTGTTTACCAATTTATGCTAAAGTAAGAGGTGGAAGGAATAAAATGAGATGTTGTTATGTGCCGTCGAGTCGTTTACGACTCATAGCAACCCTATGTACAACAGCTCTAAACTCTACTCTGTCCTGTGCTGATCTCATTGTCTCTGACACACTCATCCCAGTTGCCCCAGTCACCTAATCAATCCACCTCCCAGAAGGCCTTCCCCTCCTGCGCCTGCCCTCCACCCTCCCAAGCTTGATGTCCCTCTCCAAGGACCCTCCTTACAACATGACCAAAGTATGTCAGACGAAGCCTAGACAACAAATTATTAAATTAGGTTTGTTGGGTTTAATCTTCATGAATTGTTATATGCCATTGAGTCATCCGTAACTCATAGCAACCCTGTGTAAGCATAATAGCTCAGAACCCTGACCTATCCTGAGCCAGTCTTGCTGACTCTGACATACCTAATCCCATTGCTTCAGTTACCGTGCTAATCTATGTCATCCGGGCTCTTCCTCTCCTGCACTGTCCCTCCTTATGAGCATGAATGATGTCCTTCTCCAAAGACTGGTCTCTCCTGGCCACGTACCCAAAGTATGTGAGACGGAGCTTCTCCTTTAAGGAGAAACTTTGGTTTCATCCTCTCCAAGACAGACACATTTGTTCTTCTGGCTGTCCGTGGTATGTTCAGTTCTCTTCTCTAGTATCACAGCTCAAAGATCAGTTCTTCTGGTCTTCATAAATACAGAAGCCCTGTGTTAGTCCACTATAAATGAATTTTTTGTAAAATTTTTTAAAAT